TTTGTTGCCATGCAGTGATACACACAGTGGTTTTACCAAGAAATCTATTAACAAGCTGGTGTTCTTCTACAGATTTTCTGTAAAGTGGAACAAGGTTTTCACATGTCTTCCACTTCATTTACTTTGATGAATCTATGCAGTGATTAAAAAACTCATATATATATATATATCTTTATATACCTTTATATACCTTTAAGTATATATATATATGAGAGACATCATCCACCTTGAGAATGAAACCACTAGGTTTTCTCCTGAAAGCAGTGAAGAGTAGAAAGCAGTACATGAACCATCCACACAGTACATAAAACGTCTTTCTGGAGAAGTTACTATAGTGGGAAAAATTTTTGTGTGTCAACACTACTCACTGTGAGTAAGGGTTGCAGAACCAGGATGGAAATGGAATTGCACCTGGCTTCTTATGGTGACAGCTTCTAACAAGTCTCTGGTATTAACAAATGGGGTGTAACTCACAATTTCATGAAGGGACAAGAAGGCTCTTTAGTCTATCTCATCTAGTTATATCACAACAGTGGGGTCTAGCTGGCAAATTCTCAGGAGAACAAGGATAGTAATCTGGGCTGAAAATCAGTAATTAAGTTTGGTTTACATACAGAATTGGTGATAGCTTTAAAAGGTTTACTGAAGAAGAACTCGCAGCTGTTTTCTGAGTGTCTGCTCATGACCAAAAAAAAGGTTAAAAAAAAAAAAAAAGGAAGAGCTAGAGAGAGAGGCAGAGCACCAGAAGTCGTAAGAAAGGAAGGGAGAAATGACTTGTGTTAATGTTTTCCATGCTTATAAAATTCAGTGCAAGCTTAAGGGCATTCCATGGCTTTGAGTTGAGTCAGCCAAGTCTCATGGTCTGTATGAGATTAATGATCATGACAATTCAGGCATGTTTAGTCCTTTTTCCTCTTTTAAGAGCTGTTATTAAACAATGTTGTCTTTCAGCAGCAGCAAATCATGTGGGTGTCATGGACAAATCATGGCCTGTCAGCCCTCAAAGACTGCCAAGCTATAGGAGGGGGCAGCAGGGAAGGTTTGGATGCCTGTTTTGATTCTGCTCTGAGTCCACTCTGAATCAGCTCCTTTGAAACTTCATATGCGGTGAGGGGATCAGTAACAGTCTGGCACACAATGTGGAGCCATAATGTAAGAACTCTGGAGTTTGATTTCCAGGTTCCCTGGCTGACTGCATAGTTCTGATCAGTGTCCTCTGCATCCGTAGTTTGCCATATTTAAAATGTGGAAATTACTGCCTTCACAGAGGAGATGCTGGGTTTATACAATGTGTTGAGACTATGAAACATTATGTGAGTTTTAGGCATCACTGTTATCCTTTTTTCACACTCGCCACTTCAAAAACAGAAGTGCCTGTGCTGCAATAGTGTTGCAGACACTCTTAATAGCAGGTTTAGAAGATATAGTCAAAATAAGAACAAAGCTCTCCGTCTCAACATTATTTTAGGGCAAAGTGCCAGCTAAGAGAATGGCCTCAAAACCAGTTTTGCAAATGAGATTGCCACATGTGTCCCTGGCGCTTCCTGGCCAGCCACGTGTTCTCACACATTGCATGGATACGGCTTCCTGGGAGCCTCAGTTCTTCTGCAGTGCAGATGTTCAGCACACGTGCAATGTGCCTGGTGCTTTTCAGAAGCATCCTGGTGTGCAGGATGTACACTGTTGGACCAAGCTCAGCATTTCCATGGAAAACATGCATGTGCAGAGCTGTACCCTACAAGTAGTTCTATTAAGCTTATTTGTGTAAGTAGGTCTATTTGTCCTCTGCAGTTGGAGGTTAGGGAACTGAGTGCCTTAAATGCGATTCCAATCATTACTGGATCTCTGGGTGGTAACAGCACCTATATTATAACATTTAAAAGCCATGAATAGACTGAAATTTGGTGAGAACTGAATCAAATTCCCTTTAAACAAAAGTGAACTTCACTTAATGTTTCAGCAAATCTATTATAAGCTGCAGGATTCAAATGCAATCCAAAACAAGGGGATGTGGAAATCTGCCTTCATAGCAGAAGTTCTTCAGATATGAAACTGAAGTTGTTGGAAGAAATGTTGATGTTCCAAAAAAACCTAGTTCCAAAATCACTAAATTTGTTACTTCTAATTAACTAATACATCTTTGTGATATGACCTTCAAATATAATATAATCTAGGGCTTCACAGAGTATGCTTATTTATTAAGAAACATCTACCTGTCTTGTTCTACAGGGGAGAGAGAAGCAAAAAGGGAAAAGTGAAGAGAAGACCCATCTGAGTCATTTATGCTTAATATAGCTGCTCATTAGAAAACTTCCCATATAATGTCAGGTTTCAAATCAGGAATATTTGGAGTAAGAGACACTCAGGAGGCAGCAGTGAGAGCAGCTCCATCACATAGTTGAAGCCATGGGCCACAACCTTCTGCACAGAGTAGCTCTTAGTTGTGCTGTCATGAGAAAACATCTGTTGGGATCTACAACACAAATGCCTGTTGAGTACATTTGTTGTGACTTATAGGCACGTTGTGTTGATGGCTTTCGAGCATGTTGTGCTGAGGCTTCTGTTGCTGAGGCTATCATTTTATGTTAATCTACTTGCTTCTCCTTAGACTGGGAAACTCAGACTTGTTGCAAAATATTAAGTCTTCCAGAGAAAAAAAGTACATTTGTTAGTGTTCTCTTCCTTCTGACCAGCTCTTCATTCTTGCCTTAAAAGCCTCTCATGACATGGCTGTCATCAGAAAAAGTTTAATAAAACTATTTTTCTCTGGAAGAAAACATGTGCCAAAAAGGACGTTTTGAGAAAACATGTTAGACTTGCAGAAATTTTGTAAAACTAAAATTTGTGCTGCCTTGGTATATTTTTGGATTACAAGTTATTCAAACTATCAATAAATGTTATCAATAAGCTGTTATGTAATCTGTATCAATTTTATACACATGAAGCGCTTTTCTCGATCTGTATAATTGTGTGGTAATGGAGTGGGAGAGATATTTTTGACATCCTTTTTGTGTAAATGCAATCCAAGTAATGATAAGGATTAATTCTATTACCTATAGTAAAAACATTTAAGATTGGATGCACAGCTATTGTGCTCTTTTGGATGAGTTGCCACAATAGTACTGGATGCTACTTATCTTGTGAATGGTCGTTGTCTTCTGATATGCTGTACAGTCTGGATTTAATCTGCTGTTTTGATCTCCTTGATTGTTTCCTGTGATTGTTTCCTGTTACCTGTGGACAGGAACATTCCTTGCAGTGAATATGCAGGAGCAGTGAGTAGATACACTGTAGATACAATAACCTCAGTTTGCTAGTGAACAAAAGTGAGGGGAGAATGTGTACATCTTGATTACTATCATTAGCTTTCACATCTTAGCTTTAGACAAAGGTAGGCTGTCAAGCAAAAATGGTGTTAGGAAAGTTGCTAGTTATTCACATAGAATGTGTCAATGAAATGCATGAAGTGCATTTGAGATATTTTGGGAAAGCAGCTGTTGTATGGCAACTTCTATTTCAAATAGATGGGGCAGACACCCCCCTTTTTTCCTTTTCTTGCACGTGGAATTCCCATTGAGATTATAAGATAAAAGTGATACATGCTCCTCTCTTTGCTAGGAATATCAGGCTACTCCTATTAAGCGTGCTCTGCAGTTGCCATTCTGGTCTGGAGTTGCTACCACACTTTTCTCTTGAGGGAAAGGTGGGGCAGGAACAAAGTTATTTCAAGTTGCTTTGAAGGATCCTGATCTTTCCATATTTTCTGTATTGAAGTTATTATTATTTTTAACTCTTTCTTCACAGTTTTTGCTAAGATTAAAAAAAAGACAACAAGCAGATGTTCATATTTCCTCTCATTTTACTCAGGCACAGACTTTGCTTTGACTATACAGTCTTTTCACTCTTCAGCTGTTGCACTGTGTAGGCAGCATCTTTCCAACAGGGAGGAGCGGACGGTGATCTCCTCAGAGCCTCCAACCCTTTTGCCTTTCATTCAGTGTCTGTAGTGGCTTGAACGAGGCGCTCCCATCCCGTAGGCTTTGTACTGCTAATTCAGAGTGAAGGCCAGGAAATGAATTGTACAATAGAGCTATGGCACCCATGATACTATTTTAAACTTATTCATTACTTTTATTCTCATACTTGTTTTCTAAAGATAATTCCATGTGCAAACTTGCACAGTGTTATTTGAAATCCACCTAATACACTTTTTCCTACTAAAAAAACTTACTGCAATATATATTGAAATTCTAATGTGGGTTGACAATAACATGTTTGTATTCAAGAGTGAGTTCAGAGCGCAGCAAGCAGAAGTCTTTCAAAATGAAGGGAAATGCTGTCAAAACTGAGGTACAAGGAGCAAGAAGGTGGTTCATGTGTCCTCATACATTATGTATGGCCAAGGCTTCTCTTATCTGCTGGTAGAATAAGAAGAGCTTCAAGCTTGCCTTTCAGGGAGTATTTAACAGTATTATGTTGTTCTTGTTCAGAATGTCTGTGCAGTTCTCTTTGGTTTCATAACAGGTAGATTCCAGTGCAAGCCTCTTGGCTTTAATAGGGTCACAATAAGATAAATAAGAAATCTCATGATCATAAAGTTTTTGATTATACCATAATTTCATCTTTAAATGATTCTGCTTTGAATAAATATTTTCAAATATATTAGAATATTAGTTGTTTTTTTGCAGTAATGTGGTCTCAAAGATTTTCACAAAGTATTTGTATCTTCTGCATTGTTATTGTTGATGATAAAACATGCTGTATTGGTGGACTTGCATTTTTGCATTTTTTGAAAAGTTGCCATGTGTCTGAGCCCAAAGAAGAAAAATATGGAGAAAGCGATCTAATTTAAAGTGCCAAATCTCTTTCTAAATGAATTAATATCTGCTGTTTACTGCTGGCTTGCGTTGGAAGAGATATACTTGAAAATAAATCAATTTCCGGTCCTCAGTGAAGCATCAAGTCCAATAATTCGTAATTTTCTTTTCTTTCAATCACAGAATTCAATGTAAGTTGCAGATATGGAGGAGTGTTTCATGTGGAGAAAAATGGTCGCTACAGTCTCACAAGAACTGAAGCAATTGAGCTCTGTAGAGCTCTCAATAGTACCTTGGCAACACTGGAACAATTTGAAAGAGCTCATGAACTTGGATTTGAAACATGCAGGTAAAGAATTTGGGGGGAAAAATTATATGTTGTGACAAGGCCATCCATAGTGTAATAATTACTGTTGTTGCTAATTAGATGGCCATGTCATCCCTGAAGTAAGTTATATTATGTGATGAGCAAACCATCTTTTGGCACATGGACATTTGCACTGGGTTTTATAATAAGTCTTTGCATATTCTTTTTACCAACTGTTTTGAAGAAATCATGAACTCCTACAGATAAAATGTAAAGATAGTAGAAGATTGAGAGCATAACAAACCATTAAGGGTGATGTTCAGATCATACTCTGTCACTGGCTAATTGGTAAAGCAATTACATACAAAATATTTGTGATATTTAATGACCTGACGAATAATATAAGGAACTCTTTCCTGTCAGTCAACACAAAGAGCATCAGATAGCATTGTTGGGGATAAATTACTGACTTCCAGTGAAGAATTGGTGACAGTGTTTGTACATTCTTAAATTATGTGGATAGAGAAGTTTCAGAAAAAAGAAAAAAAAAAAGAAATACATTAAGTAACTCATTCACCCTTTATAATTAATGTTTTAAGGGGAAACAAATGTGAATAATAGGAATTCCTCAGTTTGGCAAAATATATACAAAGACATTGAAAGTTGATGATAATTTTGGCTTAAAAGACAAGTGTTGGAACAGATTCTTTGTCTCACCTAAGCTTCATCAGGATTGAATATTTGCCCCAAAGATGACATCTAGCTCAGGGTAGTCCAATGGTCTGTAAATAGGTCTGTTGCCTAATACAACATAGGTCAGACTAGACAATCACGTGACATTGTTTTACAAAACACTGAATACATTATTGCACAAGTCAACCTAAGCATTCAAGTTCAAAAGAGACTGATATGGGGAGTTGTAAATTTGAAGGGGTTTTTTTTTTTTCTTTTTTTCCCTGATCACATAACAGATTCATGTTGAGTAGCTTTCAACTGTATAAAAATTTAAAATAAAGAGCAAATATAGAAGAATTGAATTCATTACTCACTGGCATAGAAAAGTTCAGTATATGTTTCCCCACAATTTTAACTTTGCATTCTTGAATTTATCATTGAACTTGTTCATATCTTAGCAGAGGACAAATTTGGATATGTGAGGCATGTAGATAGGGTTTTTCCCTCCCTCCCTGCCTGCCAGCCCTCCCACCCTCTTATTTGCTGATGCTATGTCAGAAGTCCTTGTCAGTAGAGTTAGGCTCTTATCGAGCTTGAGTAGGAGAGAAAAAATAATAGTATGAAATAGCTAAAATATGTGTGGAATGGTGAGTAAGCTGAATCAACAGATCATAAGAAAAGAAGGTGATTAACAGATTAAACATTGTCAACATCATAGGATCAGTTGGAATTGGAGGTGAAGTAGTTTATAATTCTACCTACAACAGAATTTTAGAATTGCAATGAACTCTGTACATTATACATGCAACTGGAATAGGGCTCCCAGATTAAAAAACTGCTAAGCTATGAAATTTATTCCTCCTGATGACTGTACATATTAAGAAGTAAAGCAAAAACCAGAACAAAGCCACAGTTTCATTACCATTCTTTCATCCCTTCAAGCTGAATACATTGGAATTCACCAGGTGTTACAGCATTGCAAAATAGTACCAATGCATTGTGCATTATGGAACTCTGTTAACCACAGTCTTCACTGAAATGGGCAAGCTCTTTACACAGTTGCCACATTTTTCCACTGTAAGGAACAGCAGGAATGTGTGGATGAATGACTGGTGTATCTGAATATTTTACTAAGGTACCTGCATAGTAGAAACTTGTGTGTGTCTTGCAGTCACTCTCTAAATTTGATAGAGTACTGTAACATTGAGACCCAAACATCTTTGTATGAAATGGCACTGGGTAGAATGTTATGCTTAATGTAAAAAGTAGGGAAAAAGAAGCCAAACTATGGTGTCAGGTGATACATCCTCTCACTGAATAAAAAGCACACATAGCTTTCTAGCCCCTCATTTTCACCGCCTTGCTGTGAATCCAAGCATCTTAACTAATGAAATCCTCACTTAAATTAGATTTAGCTGTAGGCATTACATTACATGGGCTGGAGACTTATATAGCTACATGTAAGAGAAACATTCCGTGTATACAAAAATTATACATAAATGCATGCACTGATTTTTTTTTAAGATGAAAATAATGGCGTATTTTTATCTTCTTCACATTTGAGACATCTTGAGTGTTTGTTATCTGCTGTTGCACATACATGATGCGCTTTCCTCTGTACTTCACAGGTATGGTTTTATAGTGGGGCATATTGTTATCCCACGAATCAATCCATATCATCTTTGTGCAGCGAATCATACAGGCATTTACAAACTTTCAGCAAACACAACTGGCCGGTATGATGCATACTGTTACAATGCAACAGGTATGTAAGTGTATTTATGATGTTTTATATACAAATTAAATAACCATGACGTGTAATTCTTGTTTAAGGTGATAATGAGGTCTTCTACATTAAACAGAACCTATTTCTCAACTGAGAAATACATTTTGTCAGCCTCCAGAAGCACATCTATAGTATCAGTACACTTTATGATCTATATCTGTGATTATGTACAGTTTTAGAAATTTTCTTGGAAGTTTTCTGGATTGTCAGATAAGGGATGAAATCAAATATCACTGTCTTCAACTCTATCTAAAAGCACAATGATTAGAAGAGGATCAAGTGATTTTTAGGAATAGAAGAGAAGCTTTCCCATAGGTTATTTTTTATAAGTCTTTCAATCTAACTAATAGTGGTATATACAAGACTTTTTCACATTTTCCTTAAATTAATATTTTTTATTTTCCTTCTTTTTCAGAATCAAGGAGCAAAGCATGTGAGCCAGTTGAAAGAATAGATACTTCTTTCCTCAGCAATCAGAGTGAAATAGGTATTGTACTTATCAGAAAGCCTTGCCTTTTTTTTTTTTTTTTCTCATTTTTTAGGATCTTTTATCTTTTTTCCACATAAAAAATCGTTGTTTTTAAAGATCAAGCCAACGAAGAAAAAGATGTATAGATAAACTGTGGGTAGTTAAAACGATTAATCACTCATCTTCCTATAAATCATATGGGGCTTAGTTTGTCTCAAGGTGTTAGGAGGCATGTTTTATTTGACATCTTTGAACAACAGAGCTGCTAACGTTTATTTAATCTACAGGTCTTTGTTTAAGATAGCAACCCTTCAACATCTCATTTAAACTTCTGGTTAGAAGAGCAGCCAGAAGTGGAGGAAAATGTTCATAATAGATTACATTCTAAAATTCTTATTACTTCACAGAAGCCAAGATCTTATGTTCAAACACAAACTGATCTGATCAAAATTTCAAAATATTTGAATCAGAGTAGCTGCTATGTTTGACAATTATGTATGTTAAAACAGTAAGACATTGCACATCATTAAGCGATGATCTAGATAGATTGGATGAGATGAAAAAAAACAGATGAACTGTTTATTTTTACATCTTTGTTGTTCTAAGACATAGCTGTCTATCATAATTGTAATGCAGCTATGTACCTCCTGGTTATCAACAGCTGCCCTATTTATTCTTTCCAACAGTTATTGACAATGAGGATGGCTCACGTTATAATGCAGATGGCACACGTCATAGTGGAGACTCCTCAACCTCAGGTGTGGATGATGAAAATTTAGGTAGTGGATCAATACATGACACAACTCCAGGGGATACCTCTATCAGGAGATCAAGTCCTTCATATTATGGAAGTGTTACTCCTATCTCACATATGCCAGACCATTCTTCTGGAGGAGGTGAAAAAGACCTTCATGTGAAAGAATATGGTAAGGACAGTAGGATGCAATTATATCCCTTTTATAAAAACTGTGTGAAGAATTGCATTGCAAGGTAAATGATATCATGAGTGAAAGGGAAGCACTGTCTCTAATTTATATCACTGGCAAGTAAAAAGAAAAAGTGTGTTTCTGGCTAGAAAAAAGCAAACAAACAATCAAAAGAAAAAAACCCACCCAGAAACTTACTGAATTTCTAAAGATTTTTTTCTTCTCTTTGCATGGGTGTACAAATCAGCTGTACATATGCATACTTTCCCACATGGAAACATCAACGTCTTCCCAGGATGTTGAGAATAGATGGTCCTAGGAATTTGCTAATGTCTCTGATAAAATATTGATTTCAGTTGAAGAATCAAAAACTTGTCTAGCAGTGAAAACAGATAGGTTAGTGAGCCAATGCTTATGAATATCTAGAGATAGGATGACATATATTTATCTGTTCTCTAATAGAATGGATTGACAATAAGTAATAAAAGGAGCGGTATACATTTCAAGTGATTTCCTTTTGCACAAATACAGGGATTTTTTGGAACATCTTTCTACAGCATATTCACAACACATAGAGTGATAAAAGTGTCAAATTAAAATGTAATACCTTCTTCCTTTAGGTAGTAGAACCAAATTCTAATTTCCTGAAGTGTTACCAAATACAAATACTATACTTGTTTCTAGGGCATTCAGCAGGGTGGAAAATCAGTGAATTAAGGCACCCTGCCTGCATTTTGCTTTCTTGTGAAGGTGCTGTGTACTTGGTTTTGTTTTTTATGTTGCTTGTGTACTGGAAATGATCAGAGGTCTAAAATACCAGCTCCCATTGAGCCTATGGGAAACAAATATACCTTAAGTACAGTGATGTTTACTGTGTGACCTCTGGCCACAGGCTTTCTATCAACTCGCCAACAACTTATCAGTGAAGAATGCCAGTAGTCTGCATAATTATCCTCCATTAATCCTGATGTTTTTAAAAAATATAAACTAAAAATTGGGCGGAAGAGTTATAAAATAGCTTTTCATTGGTAGTATATTAATGGAATCTTCTACTTGTTTTTCCATGTGATTCACATCATAAATGGTAAATCCTAACGTTTTCTTCCTCAGGAATTAGGACCAGAGCCATTCACCCAGGTGTATGCCATGTAGTTCAATTGCTAGCCATGACAATTCTTATCAGCTCTTACTTATAGTTCAGTTCTTTAGGCTAAAGCTCAGAATATTTCTCAATAAAGAGGGGAGTATGAATAACATTACTTGTTGCTCTAGATTTCCTGTGCAGATGCCACACGTGTACAGTCAGGGCTTGAATCACACAAGAAAATCACTGATAGATTGTTCATTATCACTGTAATATATATACCTTTTGGAATTATTTATTTTGGTATTATCTTTGCTATGTTACTAAAATAAGAATATTTAAGTTTGAATCGTGTGAAAAACCTATTCTGTATCTTTCTTCTCTTCTGTAAATGAAAGAACAAAGCTTTCAATATAGAATAATTGAAGTAGTTGTGAGTAATAAGTTACACCTCAGCTAATGAAATAGTAATGATTCATCCATTTCATGCAGGTTATGAAAGTTCTCCTACATCAACTGTTATCTTGGCAACAGCTACTGATTTCCCCACAGAAGATGATGTACAGCATCCTGCAAGTACTAGTAAGATTTATGCATTATAATAACTATATCAATTAATTATTGCATTAAAACTACTTTCTTTTTTCCAGTAGTGCATTCTGGTAAGTGGTGTAATACGCATTCTGTCCAACTTCAGAAAGACCCCAAAAGACACTACTTTCTGGACTGATTACATCAGAAATAGACAGTGAAAATATTTTTTCACTTACTTAAAGAGATAAGGAGAACCGAACACTTGCTTTTTCTTTCCTTCTGAGAGAGAGAAAAAGAAAAGGAAAAAAAAGAAGGAAAAGAAAAAGAAAAAAAAAGAAGAAAAAAAAAAGATCTACTTCCCTAACTTACCAGAACAATTTACTCAAACAATAACTGTGACTGATTTTTTTCATCCATTTATATTAGACACTCTTGTGCTCTGGTGAGTTTTTCCTTATGCTTCATATGGAGCATACTTTGAAAAATCTCATTACTTAAAAAAGGCTTTTGTCCATTCTTTGACTGATTAGATAGGAAAGCATCTACATTGATATTTTATATATGTGGAGGAAGCTGTAAATCCACATTCATCATTCAAGTAAATATGTTCCTAACACTTGCTGTGGAGAGAAGGTAGGAGTGACTGCGGCAAGTAAGATGACCATTCAAGGAAAAGTTGAATATGGACATGAATAGTAGTTATGCTTCTACTGAATGTTTGCTACAAAATGCACTGTACTTTAGTTCACCCATAGAAATTAGTGAAGTCAAGAACCAGAAATGATTCCATAATGCTGGAACAAGAGCAACAACCACAACAAAACAATTAGCCCCTCTAGTTCAAGAAAGTGAATTAAGATATTTCCAGAAATAATAACACTTGGGTAGGAATCAGACGATGGCTAATCAATGTATTAGTCATTTGACATCTCGCATATTATCTCCCATGACACAAACTCTACTAGCAGATTTCCTTAAATAACATACAGGGGACTCATCTCTTGAGGGATGCTATAGACAGAAGCTTAATCTATCTTGTTCAACAGTAAGCAATGTAGGTGATCTTAAAGGATGGTGTCAGAAAAATCTTTCCTCTATTAAATCGTGTTAATTCTTCAGTATAATTGGAAGCTTGATATGTAACAAAACTCTGCAGCTCTGTACTTCAGTTATTTTCTTGTTGATAATTTTGATCATTTTGATCTTAGTTCCATCCAAGCCCCAGATAACTAATTTGTTGTTACTCAATTGCTCAGAGCCCAGATTTTATAATGTTCAGATTTTCTGATCTTAAAAAAGGCAAGCCATCCTCTCCTCTTGCCCTGAAATGCCTGAAAATCAATTTGCACCTATTTTTAGTTTACTGAGTTTGAACTTTCTATCTAAAAAATTGCCTCTTACTTCTGTGGGAATCTTTCTTATTAAATGAGTTCTTATGGCTTGGAGTAGAAGAGAAATCTTAAGTTTTGAAATGAACAAAATACAACCTGACCGTGCTGGTTAAGTATTTTCATTTCAGATTGATGTATCTTCAGACCTCTTGGTTTACATAAAAGTCATCTAGGCACTCTGCCTGCACAACTTCTTCCACTTTTTCATTCAAAGTTGTTTTCACAATAGTCTTTTTTCAATCTTTTTAAATAGAAAACCTCACTTATCTGTAGATGAGTTCATATTTCGTTGTGTAATTTGTGTCCAGATGCAGCCCACAGGGTCAAATGAGAGTGACAGATTTCCACTGAACATGTCTGGTAGTACAGGAATTCCAAATCTTCTTGTAAATGCTCACTGAGCATTTTATGTGGGGAAACTAAAGTCATAATGACTGAATTTTAGCAGGACTGACATTTCTGAAAGCCAGTGTTATTTTTTTCTTCACTAATATTGCATTCAGATTTATCTTACACTCTTACGTGTTCAAGCTACTTCTGTCAAACTATGAATTTGTTGCAATGAACAGATACGGAAAACAAAAAAATAGATTCATAGCATTTACACTGCTATATCACTATTTGTGAATTTTTGTGTAGTATTTCTTAATTCTTCATGGATTAAGAGAAGCTTTCTCCTGAATGTATTTACATGCTTTTAAAGAATTTTTGCTCAACATCACAACAAAATTCTACCATACTACAGTGATCTGTTTCTGCAGTTAGAGAGTGATGGTATCAGGTAAGCACAATACTAATACTCCAGAAAATCCATCAGATTTGACTTCATTATGTCTAAATTATGTGTTCATTATGTCTAAATCTAGTCTTCTTCATGACAGGTATACAGAAAACAACATTAAGGGAGTTATTCAACTTTAGGTTGTTGGAAATGCTATGAGCATGTAGAATATTTGTAATCTGTTTCTGTGTATGTATGTGCATACAACAATAAACCTTCTCATTAATTAAATTCTAGGGCATTTGTGATAACTTTGCACAGGTTTCTTACTGAGAAGTTATTGCTTGAAGCATTAGTGGAATTTTTCACATAATCATGTGTAGTTCTGTATACATAAAATTGAAACATGACTGCAAATGAAGCTAAAGAATGTATTAGCTCTCTTCTAACCAAAATATCCATACTGATTCAGAGTATATCTGTTGAAAATTAGTAACAATTGTAATTTTAAGTGCTGAGGATTTTAATGCATTATTGATCTACTTGTTTTTATTTTGGAGATTGAGCACTATAATCCTTTATTTCTGATATGAGTCAGAGTAGTATTAAATACAAGGAGTCAAAAGTAAGCACAAAAAGAGAAAACAATTATTCAGCCAGGCACAGCTTACCAGAAAGGCACAATTTGTTAAGGTTTGGTGCCATCATTGCTACTCTTTGTAAAATTGCAGTTTTAAGTCCATACACTTTGTAGTTAACAGTTAAGAAAACATAAATAACGATAAGCTGGATTTCTTGAGGGATTTCATTCTTGGTGTATGCATTTTTATTAGCTTTGCATGCTTTCTGTCAAAAAGGAGTGTATTTCACACACACTGCATATTTGAGCTGGTAATATAATCTTGTACTTCAGCAGAATGATTCAAAATTGTTTACTTACACTAAAATGATTGGATATTTTTGCTATTGGAGGAATGTAATGATACCCCAGGTTCATACATTCCCTTTGTGCTCACATCTCTCTCAGTGGCATGAGCATGCTCAGGGTGCTGATGCTGGTGGATTTGGCTTTGCTGGAGAAAGTAAGCCTCTCAAGAAGTAACAAGTTCTTGGTTCAATGAACCATGTCCTAACAGCTCCAGAGCCTCATCGTGACAACCTGGAGAAAACCACCACCCAGTCATGGTGGAATCCATTTTCAGACCAGTGGTGGTGGTCATACCCCAGAGAGAAGACCCAAGAACCCACGCAGCCAACAAGGGGTAAAGAATCTCGTGCTAAGATGGTACTTTTTCAGGGGCTAAATGACCAGTGAGCCAAGACAGCAAGCTTCAGAAACATTAACATTAGGGTATTTACAGTGGGCAGTATGTGTTGCTGCTTTTCTCTGTAATGTTTCTGAAGAGGAAAAATAAAAGAATCATAAAATCATTAAGGCTGGAAAAGACCTTCAAAGATCATCCAGTCCAGCCTTCAACCCATTATCACCATGCCCAGTGAACCATGTCCCAAAGTGCCACATCTACATGTTTCTTGAACACCTCCAAGGAATGTGACTCCATTACTTCCATGGACAGCCTGTTCCATTGCATCACTACTCTCTTGGAAAAGACTTTTTTTTATTCCTAACATCCAAACTGAATCTCCACTGGTTCAAATTGAGGCCATTACCTTTGTTCTATGAAAGTACAACGTTCTTTCTCTCTAGTAGTATGCATTGTAGCAAAAGAGCATTTGTCCACATTATTCATGAATTACAGATCTGATAGGGTTGAATATTTGAGATATTCTCTAAAGGATGTATTAGAGTCTTTAATTTTCCATCTTGAAGTCACTTCAGAAGGAGATTATTTTAATGAGAAAGAATTGTAGAAAAAATGAAAAGTGTGTTGTCATGGCAGTGCACTATACTCACTCTGATGGAATAAGACAGGTGCCCATTTGTGCTGTGACCTATACTGGACACAGAAACACAGTTAACAACAACATTGGGATAGCTTCAGTAGGGCCATGGTAAGATAATGAATGTCTTGTGGGAAGAAGGACCAGTAGGAGATATGGACCG